AGCCCTGAGACAGGAGAAGAGCTTCCATGGGAGGGGCTGCACCACACCCACCGGTCTGACCCATAGCGGGGGCTCCCCCAGCGGAGACTGCTGTGTCAGTCCCAAGGGGGCCAGGTGCCGGGCAGCCACAAACTAATGGAGGCTCGCTTGCTTGGAAAACCCATATGGGACTGTCACTGCCCTCCCTGCTCACGTACAGGTGACATGGACGAGGAAGAAACAAAAGAGGCCCAGAACGGAAGGCAGGGCCCCTGCAGCAGCGAGCGCTGTGAAGGAGCCGGACGGGCAAAGGGATAGAAGGAGGCTGGTGAGGAGGCCACTTGAGGTTGAGTGGCCTGGGCAGGTGGCTCTGAGGAGGTGACATGTAGCGACTCCCTTGAAGCCATGCAGAATAGTGACAAAGGAGAATGTCACTCTCTTGGCTCCCACACGAGAGCTCTGCCCCACACCCCACAGCCCTGTGCTCCTTCACGCTGGAAAGGCCCGCACTTTCACGACAGGCTGCCCCAGGCAGCAGGTCGCTGGGGGCCTGGCTCTCAGGAATCTCCATGCACTTCCCCCTGCTTCCAGCTGCTCCAAATACTGCAGCCATGCAAGCCTCCCCTCTGATTTGGGTTGCTGACCTTTTCCTATAAGCCCAAATGAAGGCAGAGACTGCCTTAAACATGATGTCCTTTCCTGATCGGTGGTGTCACCAAGAGGTGGCTGTGGCCTCCCCATTAATTGAATGTCCCAAATGCATCCACGGCCCTCACCGTGCTCCAGGCAGCCTTCTAAGCACTTTACCTTAGCATCTCAAACCTCACAACCACCCTCGGGAGGTAGAATCTGTTACCACCCACAGTTTACAGACGAGGGAAGGAGACATGTAAGGAGCTCTCCCAAGGTCACAGAGATAAACGTGGACCCAGCTTACAGCCCACACTTAGAGCAGTGTCTGGCAAGCAGCCGACCCAGTGTGTTAATACCTGCTAATGCCAGTCTTGGGATCCAAGCAGCCACTCTCTGCGTCCAGCAGGGGGCACCAAAGCCCCCAGCCCCAAGCCCCGCCCCAGGCCCGCTAGGGGTGGCTGAAAGGGAAAGCCGCTGAAGAGGGGATCTTTGAACGCCAGGGAGCTGAGTGTGGCCCCTTCTCAGTCCTTGCCTCCCCTGCAGGGTCTGACCCTGCAAGCTCCTTGCTCCTCCCCTGCTTCTCTCAGGGGCTCCCAACCGGTTCCTGAAGCTCCGGCTCCCAGCTTGCTCTTTACACCACGCTCAGCCCCTGTGGCTCCCGCACAGCACCCCATCCCCGCCTCGGCTTGACGACTTCTAGCTGTGGAGACCCCGGGCACCCTCCGTCCTGCGTGCCCGGCACACACGTCCCCCTGTCCCTTCTGTGACCCACAGACACACCCAGCTCGGCACCTCCAAAACCAAGTTCATGGGCCTCAGACCAGCTTCTCCTGGGTTGTCCTCATCAGCCACACTGGTCCTGTCCTGGGGCTTCCTCACCCTGTCTACCCTGCCTTCACACCACCTCCGGTCCACCCACTTCTCTCCTTGACTCTTGTCCGGCCTGGGCCTTTTCTCCCTGGATAACTAAGACCTTCTGCCTCTCTTCTGCCCCCTTCTACTGGTCCCATAACAGTTACCATGAGCCTTCCGAAACACAAATCAGATGCCATCACCCGCCTGCGACCCTTTCTGAGAAGGCCCAAACTTATGAATACGCTCTGAATGTATCCCCAGACCCTCTCTTGGGCCTCATCTCTGCAACCCGCCCCCACTCCGTTCCTCCATTCTCCAGGCCTGCTTCCCCTGGCTCCAAAAACTCTACCTGGTTCACACCAACACATTTCTTCCGGATCCCAGTTTAGGTATACCTCCTCCAGGAAGCCTTCCCTGATGCCCCATGCTGGATTTGGAGCCCCCTTCTCTGCGTTCCCACAGTTCTGTGTGTCCCCCATCTTGAGGCCCGATACTGTTTCTATTGCAATGGCCTAAGTCTCTCTTCTCCAGGAGGTGGGCGGCGTAATTGAGGGGCTAAGAGCAGACGCTAAAGCTGGAAACTCTAGGTTCAAATGCCAGGTGTGCCAGGTACTGGCTATGGGAGTTTGGGAGCATATCCAATCCCTCCACGATTCATTTTTCCCATACTGTAAAATGATGATAATTCTGACAATCATTATATTAGCTAGAAGACTAACACCTATCTCATAGTATTGTTAGAGGACTAAATGAGTTCATACACTGACGCTCTTAATGACAGCAGCTGGCACGTAGCATGTGCTACCTATGTGACTGATCATTAAATTGGTCCTCAAACTAGTTGCTTCTGGAGGGCGGACTCTGAATTTATTTGATCCACTGTTATGTCTCCAGCACCTGCTCCAACGTCCTGGTTCTGAACATCCCCTAACATTTGTGCCATGAGCGCATCTTTGGTCTAAAAATGACAGCGCATGTAGAAAAGAAAGAGAACATGTCAGTGATGTTCTGGAGGCAGACTGCTCAGGGCTGGGAGAAAGACAGGAGGAAGAAGATGGCCAGGAAAGACCTGTGACTTTGCTCCAAATCCTGGGTGGCTCCGTCCCTGCCCCAGTCACTCACTGCCACCTCTCTCCACGCAGGCACCCCAGCCAGCATGGGGGACATTGCGGCTTCCTCGCTTCTCTCTCTCTCCCTCTGCCCCTCCCCACTGACTCCTTCCAAGTCCCATCAGAGCTGCTCATGTGCCAGCCTCCTCCCTCCTGTCTGCACCCCATGTCCACCCTAGTTGTTCCAGTTACAATTGCTATGCAACAAGGGACCCCAAGACACAGTGGCATAAAATAACCATTGCATTATACTCGCAGGTTATGGGGCTCGGAGCTTGGTCAGGGCACACTGGGATGACCACAGAAGCCACTGTCCACAGTGCCTCGGCCGAGAAGATGGGAAGACACGATGGCTGGTGGCCGGGCTCTTCTAGAGGCTCCTTCACCCACACGTCTGGCGCCTGGGCTGGGGTAATTCCAAGGCGAACCTCAACGGGGACGGTGGACTGGAACGCCCCCCAGGGCCTCTGCATGTGTCTGGGCTTCCTCACAACATGGCAGCCTGCAGATTCTTCCCCTGGTGGCTCAGGGCTGCAGAGCAGTGTTCCAGGCAACAAGACAGAAGGCGCGTTGTGGTGTCACTCTGTCACCTTACCGGTCACCTTACCAAGCCCTCACCGGCCCGCCCAGACTCAAGCAGGGAGACACGGAGGACCCGCCTCTCACTGAGAGGCCACACAAAGTGAAGCCACCCATGTCTGGAACCTGCACCACAGGGTGGCCTCCTCTCTGCTCTGTCCCACTTTGCCCAGCCCTCTCCATGCCCCCGTGGACTCTCCACAGGGCAACCTTTGAACACACAAGTCACATGAGTCCCCCTTTCTTTGATCCCTCCAACGTCTTCCTGCCAAACTCTGTGCTGAAAGCTGAGCTCCGCACGTGCCCACACAACTCTGTGGGATCCGCATGCCCCCATCTCCTCCCTGGGGCCCGCTGCCCTTCCTTCTCTTTCTGGAGCAGCCCCTGGCCCTCCTGGGGCCCCGCCCACCTCTGAGCCTTTGCACTGCCTCCTCCTTCGTGCGCTGCTGGGCCCTTGGCTCCCGTGTCCTTTAGGCCACCTCCTTACATCTAAAATCAACCCTCCAGCCCCAGTAGTGCCTCTCCCATCACTCTACTTTATTGTCTGCAGTTGCCCCTGTGATGTCTCAAATGATACATTTGTTTACTTCTGGTCTGCCTCTTCTACCAGCTCCGAGAGCAGGACGTTGTCCTTGTTCCTCACAGTATCCACGGTGCCCACCCTGGTGCCTGGCACAGAGATCTGCGGAATGGGAATGAAGGCAAGAATAGTGGTTTTCAGGGAACGTGTATGATTTTTTTTTTTTTTTCCGGCTGTGCCATGCGGTTGTAGGATCTTAGTTCCCCAGACTGTGGGATTTTAGTTCCCCCAACCAGGGGTCGAACCCGAGCCTCCAGCAGTGGAAGCGCGGAGTCTTAACCACTGGACCGCCAGGGAAGTCCCCACGTGTGTGTAATTTAGAAAAGCAATTCAGAAGTAATAGCCCTGGGGAGGGGGCTGTTAACTAGAGTCAGGCACGCCTTGTTTCCAATCTGGCGCTGCCATTCACCAGCTGGTGACTGTGGGAAAACACCTTTGCGCCCCTGAGCCTCGATTTCTTCAGCTGAAACTTGAGTCCAACCGCCCCCTAGCTCACTGGACTGGGGTGTCTGTCACAGGAAAGGATCAAGACCTCTGGTCAGCCTGGACGCTGTCCCCGGGAGCGAGGCGGAGCTGCACCGCCCGTCGCGCCCGCCAGGTGTCGCCGCGAGAGCGCGCTGAGCAGCCGGCTGCGACCGGAGCCTTACGGCTACTCGGGCGCCCCACGTCTGGGTTGCGTGCGGGGCATCCAGGCCTCAGCCCGACTCTGACTTTCCTCTAGGAGCGGGACTCCAGAGGAGGCTGTCTCACCTGGGCACCCACCTGCCTCCCCGCCTCGAATAGACGGGGGCGGGGAGGAATACTCTGAGCCAGTCTTCCTCGCTCCGCCAGTAGCCCTGCGTAAGGGGGCGCCCTCCCCTGAAGCTGGGCTGGAAGCCAAGGGGAGGGAGGAACCTGGGTGCGCCCTAACACCGCACAGCTCCGAGCGCTCGGCCGGGCCGCGGGGACGGGGAGGCAGGCCAGGGCGAGAGGGTTCTCGGCTGAGCCCCGATTCCCGCCAACCCGAGGGCAGTCCCTGCGCGTCCGCTCGCCCCGCAATTTACGAGTTAGCGTCGGGTGGAGCCCCTCCGGACTCCCACTGCCCCGGACCCAGCTCGGCGCCCCGGAGCCGGGAGGGGGCGCCGCGGGAGCGCGTGGGGCAAGCGCGAGCGCGCTTGGAGCAGGCGGCCCTGTCCCGCGGGCGCGGGGGCGCGGGGCGGGCGCTCCGGGGAGGCGGGTGGGGGAGGGGCGGGGGAGGGACGGGAGAAAGGAGGGAGGGAGGGAGGGAGGGGCGGGGGCGGGCGGCTGCAGCGCCCCCGCACTCTCCGCGCCTCGCACACTTGCACCGGCCGCTCGCGCGCAGCCCGGCGTCGCCCCGTGCCGCGCTCGCTCCTCCCTCGCTCCTCCCGCTCCGTGGCTCCCGCGCTCCCGGCGAGGCTCAGGCGCCGAGCGCGCGGACGGGCGCACGACAGACGGCCCCGGGAAGCCTCGGCCCGCGCCTCCCGGGCGGGCTATGTTGATTGCCCCGCCAGGGCCGGCCCGCGGGATCAGCACAGCCCGGCCCGCGGCCCCGGCGGCCAGCGGGGACTATGAACCGGAAAGCGCGGCGCTGCCTGGGCCACCTCTTTCTCAGCCTGGGCATGGTCTACCTCCGGATCGGGTAAGGGCCGCTCGCACCTCCTGCACGCGCGTCCCGGCAAAGTTGGCGTGGCTTGGGGAGGGGTTGCGCCGCCCGCGAGCCGCCGCCGGCCGCCAACTTCCTTGGCTCCTCAGAGACGCCGGGTGGGCGCGGTGCGGGAGCGGTGGGCGCACAAAGGCCCCCCTCGGGCGGGAGCCCCAGGGGCGCGCATAGCTCCAGAGACACGGGCAGGGGGACCAGCCGTCCTGAGAACGCCTGAGGCTGGAAGACCCCCAAACCAAGGACAGCCAGTAGGGACGCTCCAGCTTGGGGGACTCTGAAGAGGGTTAGCCGCTGCAAAGGTCAGCGTCTCCCAAGGACCCTTCAGACCAGGGTATGGGAACAGCAGGTCCAGCGGGAACACCCAGCCAGGACCACAGCCGCTCGCAGGGAGCTCAGCCCCCAGAGCCCGAAAGGAGCTCTGTACACAGAGGCGAGGGCACAGCCGCTCCTAGTACAGGGCAGTCCCCGGGCGGCAGGCGGGGCCGGTCCGTGAATAGGGAACAGGTACCCGGAGGGAGGGACGTTCGCTGGCAAAAACACAAACCGCTCCTCAGAGCCTTGGCACCACCCGGTTTCCAAGGACCCTCGGACTCCCGGAGCCCCATCCCAGGCGAAGGGGACAGCGCCAACCACCCTAACAGACGCACACAAAGGTAGAACTAGAGATGGCCCGAGACACCCAGGGAGACAAGCTCGCAGAGCCAGCGCCAGAGAGAGGCGGGACACCCCGCCCCCTAAAACTGGGCACCCAAGGCGGCCGGCTCGCTCGCGGAGCAGCCCTCCCTGCCTCACGCCAGCCTTTCTAGGAGGTGGGGCCGGGGCGGCGCGCTGGCTGGAAGGTGGGAGGGGGCGGCTCGGGACGCGTCTTGGAGCTGCATTTGCGCGGCCAGTCACCCTTTGTACTTCGGGGATAATGCGCGTGAAGCACAGGAGGTGGGGGCGGGGGCTTTAGGGATGGGTAGAGGTTCTGACGCTCGAGGGCCGCCTTGGCAGGTTTCACGCAACCTGCTCCCCCAGCTCCGCTCGGGGAGAGGTCGGACTGCAGGGGCTGCGGCGATGGTGTGTGTGTGGTGGATCCTTTGTGTTTTGTCACTACCACTCCCCCGTTTCACCACCCCGCGGCTCTGGCGTGGGGATTTCTCAAGTTGACCGGCCGTGGCGGCCAGCAGGTGCGCACAGAGCGGACCAAGCGGCTGCCAGCCCTGACCGCGGGCCGAGACGCGACCGCGGGCGGAGAGGCGGCTGCGAGGCTCGCGCGCTGCCTGCCTGCTGGTGTGTTTTAAGTGTTATTGATTCGCCCGCATCTGGGTGGCTTTCTTTTTTTTCCCCTGCTTTAATCTTCATCTTGGCCCGCGCCCCGCCGTCCCGCGCGCATCCAGCATCCAGGAAGCCGGTGGGGCTGATTGGCGCTGGCCGCGTGCGGCTTTATCTCCTTTTTAATTAGAAACGGGGCGGAGGGACTCGGGAGGGGAGAGAGAAAGGGAAAACAACAGAAAATAACTCCCCTGGCCGCCCCGCCCGCCCGACCTCCCGCCGGCGGCGCCGAGACCTCATAGTCCCCGCAGGGGCCCAGCTGCCCGGAGGGAGGGCGCCGGCCTTCCGCCCCGCTGCCGCCCTTTGGGGTGGGGAGAGGGCCAGGTCGGGAGGAGTTGCAGGGTGGTTTGGGGCCAGGCCCTGCTGCTGCTCTCTGTACCTCGGGTTATCCATCTGTAAAATGGGCATGGGAGGCCTTTCGGTTCCTCGGATGGATGGCGGGGCACCTGTGGTATTCTTATTTTATTTGGATAGTTCAAGTGACTCAAGCACTAGCCTTTTTGTAACAATCAGATGCAATAATAATAACTACCACAGCAGCTCATTTATTGAGTACTCACTGTGTGCCTGACACGTTCAGAGCACTTCCCATGTTTTGACACATTTAATTTTTCAGCAGCCCTATGAGGTGAGGTCCAGTTAATATCCTCATTTTAGCAATGGGAAAACTGAAGTACAGAGAGGGGATGTAACTTGCCCAAGGTCACACAGCTACTAGGTGAAGGAAGCTTAGATGGCGCCCTAGACCTGAGCTCTTAGCTGCGAGACTATGGTGCCTGTGCATTTTTACCCCAATATATAGTTTCACTCTCTGCCGGTGTAGGGATTTCCTGGTGGTCAACTAGGTGTCGACAGGTTCCTCCTGACTTGTGGCCAGAACATCTCCACTTGACCTCCTCTTTCTGTGCTGCGTCTTCCTGAAACATTTAAAATATCCTAGCTCTGTGTTAGACTCTCTTTGAGTGGCTGAGAGGAATGACCGAGAGCTCTTGCTAGGGTCCTGTTTTAGATCCATCACCTGCTAGCCTCCAGGCCTGCCTCGGTTCTCAGCTACGCAAAGTGGATGTGTGAAATGGAGATGGTGATTCCTGCCCTATAGGGCTGTTTAGAAAGGCCGACTGGTCTAGAGTTAGTGGTAGCACCTGCCATACTGCATTTGCATATAATAGGGATGCTGCAGAAGGTCCCGGATGCATTCAAGGCATAACTAGGGGCACCTGCTGTGTAATAGGCAGTGACATTTTTGAAGCTCCACAATCCATTTAGCAAGCCCAGCAGACAGCCTCCCGGTCCTCAAGGAGCTGCTGGTCTAATGAGAAAGACAGGTGATAAAAAAGCAAGCACACAGGTTAAAAACAAACACATACATTAAAACATTTCAGAAGACCATGAGTAATCAAGAGTATTAAGTAAACAAAACAGAGATTGTGATGGAAAGTTAGGAGGGATGGGGTGCAGAGGCAGGTTCCCTTAGGTGGGATGGTCAGGGAGGGGACCCTTGAGGTCACTTGGATGATGGCAAGAAGCCAACCGTGTGAAGGTCAGGGGGTGAGAGAGCTTCCAGGGAGAGGGACCTGCCCGAGGCAGGAAGAGGGCTGGAGTGTGGCAGGAGCGGCAGTTATGTGCTTCGAGAGGAGTGGGGTCACCTCAGCTCTTGTGGTGCTGGTCAGGGGACCCTCGCCTTGAGAAATCCCAATTCCAGAACAACTTCCCACAGCTGAGCCTGGACTGGAAAGACGAGGCACTTAGCCCAGCAGCTGACCATGGCCCATGTAAATGGGAGCTCATTATTATAACCAGAGTGAGGTCTTCTCTTTCAAAGGGTGCTTGCTGACCTTTGAAGGATTATACAAAAGGAAGCTCCAGACAAGCGGGCCATCTTTGTGTAAAGGGAGGGCTAGCTGCATTGTCAGGGCTACCACTGGAGCCTCTTTGGGGTTATCTTGATATTAGGAAATGGGCCCACCCTCAGGCCAGATACCCACGAGCCACACTGACGCCTCTCTTTCCCTTGTACCCTTCCCCAGCCCTCCCATCGGCTCCACCTCATCCATCAGCGAGCTGGGTCGCCTCCATCTGCGGCCACCCAGGCCACGCCGCCTCTGGCCTGCCCACTCTCCCTGCTGTTCTGGAGCCCTGCAGTCCTCTCCCCGCTGGGGCTGGAGGCATGGGATCCTGTCAGTAACCTGCTTCCAGCCCTTCAGTGTTTCTTGATGTACCGAGATAGGTCAGCCCTGAGCTGTCTCCTCTCCCCAGACCCACCCCCACCGACCGAGCCCTGGTTCTGCATTGGGTTCTGTGGGTTCTTTCTGCTCCTTGGCGATCCCAAGCTTGTTCCCTTCCCAGGACTTTGTATCTTCTGTTCCCTCTGCCCTGAATACTCTTCCCCAGACCTTCCCATGGCTGGTTCCTGACCATTCAGGTCTCTGCTGCACTGTTACCTCCTCAGGGAGGCCCTCCTTGACCACTCATGCTAAAGCAGCCCCTCTCCCTTCCCTCTCAGACCCACCACTACTTGTTATCACAGCATCTTCATTTATTTTCTTTGTAGTGCATGTCACTGAATGTTGTGTTGTGTTCATTTGAGACATTTGCATGGTCTCCCTCCATAGCCCCTCGAAGTTAGGGCCTTGCCTGCCTCCCAGCATGGTGCCTGGGAGCCTGGTGCCCTGATAGGTGCCTAGTACATAGCTGTGAATGAGTTGGGAAGACAGGAACCTTGCTGCGATAGTCATAAGCGTCCTCTAGGCCAGTTATACCTGGAGTGGGATACACATATTCCATTGGCATGCAGGAAGGAAATACTACAACTTTCATTCACAGTTGCTTTTTAAAGATTTTTAAAAAATAAAACATATACATACATACATTATGTTGTCCATATATAACACGTCTGAACAGTTTTTGTTCTTTAATCAACATCTGTGCACCCATCCCCCTTTCAGAGGCAAACGCTACGTGAAACTTGGTGGTTACCTTTGCAGTTTTACCGCACACAGATGACCCCTAAACAGTGCAGTTCCATTTTGCATGATTTTAAACTTCATCTCGATTGAATTCTCCCATAGATGCAAAGGCAACTGGCTTAGTTCATTTGACAGTATGTTTGTGACACGCATCATCTTTCTTTGTGTCTAAGAAAGAAATTAAGCCTCACTAATATTGAATATACACGTGGTACAAGTACCGATGGGAATTATAAATGAGTGAGCATGGGTTGGGGGTGCAGTATCAAAAAAGTTGAGAGACCCGTGCTGGGAGCAGTAGCAGGGGGAGGGCAGGGCTGGACGCCTAGGGAGGGCCTGTAGGTGTGCCCCCCACCTTGCTGGCCTAACGCTCCATCTCTCTGTGTCCCCTGCTCCAGTGGCTTCTCCTCGGTGGTAGCTCTGGGCGCGAGCATCATCTGTAACAAGATCCCAGGCCTGGCTCCCAGACAGCGGGCGATCTGCCAGAGCCGGCCCGACGCCATCATCGTCATAGGAGAAGGCTCGCAAATGGGCCTGGACGAGTGTCAGTTTCAGTTCCGTAATGGCCGCTGGAACTGCTCGGCGCTGGGGGAGCGCACCGTCTTCGGAAAGGAGCTCAAAGTGGGTATGTGCTCACCCAGACACCCCAAGCGGGGTCTTATAAACTATGGGGAGACCAAATTGCCTCGGGAGTGCTCTGGGACCCCCTTCTCTGCTGCAGGCTGGAACGCCCTAGGTAAGGGGTCCTGCAGGTGCCACAACTTGAATTTAGGTCTGCTGACGAGGGTCAGCTCTCCGATTGGAATCCACCACCAGCCGTTCCCAGTAGAGTTGCACACCAGCAGCCAGTGGCCCAAATGCTAACTGGCTGATACAGCACTGATACTGTTTTTTAAATTGAAGCCCAAATTTAGAAACTATCTGTTTCGCCTAAAAATATGGACTTCTGGCTTCTTTTGAAAAATTGGCAGATCTACGGATAGCTTACACCTGTGTCCACTTAGTTACTAATGGGCTGCAGCTGAGAACACAGCGCCCTTTAGGTGGAACCTGGGCAGCCCATTCACTGCCACAGTCCCCACCCTTCTGCATTGCCTTGCCTGGCCACTGTGGGCATTTGAATTTCCAACCCCTGTTTTATGGGAATGTGTAAAAGCCTGGTGGAAGGGGCACGGGAACAATGTTGGTTGCCAGGAGGCCCCGGTCGATGTGGGGAAGGCCATGTTGTATGTCTTCTCGCTTGTATGCATCTGGACTGGGGGGCCGGAAAGCCTGCAGCCTCACTGCTGAATCGAGCAGTGAACTTCCCTGAAAGTCGGGTCAGCCTCAGGTCCCTCGGCTGCAGTGGTTCACCCAGCCTGCTCGACTGCTCACAGGGCACCCCTGGGTTCTCTGTCTCCTTCAGCCCCGACATCAACAAATCCAGTTCATGTTGAAAAGATCCACCCCAAGTCTGGCCACTGCTCCACGCCCTCCCTCGCTACCCCTCGGGTCACACAGGTGGCACCTCCCAGCCTCCGGCCATCCTGCAGACCCTCCTGCGGGCAGGGTTGTCCTTTGTAAGTGGAAATCAGATCCTGTCCTTTCCCTGCTTAACCTCCTTGGGAGGCTCCCCCTGGCCTCAGAATGAAATCCCAACTTCTCACTGGTCCGCCGCTGCCCTCTGTCCTCATCCGCTCCCATCTTCCTGTCCCCCTTGCCCACCCAGCCTCATGCTGTTTCCCAAGCACACGGCACTGTTTGGGTCCTGCTTGGGGGCCTCAGCTCCACGCATTCCTTCTGCCTGGTATCATCTCCCACCATCCTGTGCACCTTCCCTTGTGGTTGCTATGGTTTTCCTGCCTTCTCCTGCTCACACCCATGCCCCCTGTTTCTGGGACCCAGACCTGGGCTCTGGCGTTATTTTGAGCTGTGTCTTTGTTGACATATGAGATGTTACATATGGGGAAACTGAGGCTCAGGGGGACTTGCCCAAGGTCAGCAAAAAGTGAGTGGCAGGGTCTCCTAGGACTGGGCTGATCCCAGTGTCACTCGCAGTCCTGGAGTAGCTAGCTTGTTGGTGGCGTTGTGATAATGCCTGCCAGGGTGCAACAGGAGGGCTCCAGTGCAGGGAGTCCTGGGATGAAGGAGTCCCTGCTGTCCAGAAGCCCCCAGCTGCCCAGAGCTGTAGGATTGAGGGATCCGTTGCAGGCTGAGGCGGGGGAATACCGCCAGTATGCACCACCAGTTTATTTATTTATTTATTAAATTTTTTTTAAAATTTTAATTAATTAATTTTTGGCTGCGTTGGGTCTTTGTTGCTGTGCGTGGTCTTTTTCTAGTTGCGGCGAGTGGGGGCTACTTGTCATTTCAGTGCGTGGGCTTCTCGTCGTGGCTTCTCTTGTTGCAGAGCATGGGCTCTAGGCACGTGGGCTTCAGTAGTTGTGGCTCGTGGGCTCAGTAGTTGTGGCTCGCAGGCTCTAGAGTGCAGGCTCAGTAGTTGTGGCACTCGGGCTTAGCTGCTCCACGGCACGTGGGATCTTCCCAGACCAGGGCTCAAACCCGTGTCCCCTGCATTGGCAGGCAGATTCTTAACCACTGCGCCCACAGGGAAGCCCCCACCAGTTTATAATACCAGTATACACTGAGCAGGAGCAGAGGCCTGGGGCAAGGAGCATTCTTTGAGAGGAGGACTTGGGTAGGATGGCTTCAGGGGATTTAAGCAAACAGAGGCGCCAAGAAAACCCCTGGGATTGCGATGCTGGACAGCAGGCCTGCGGGACCTGGAGGGGAGTGGGAGCCAGAGCCTGGAGGTGTGTGGGGTCACGGCTCGCAGTTTCTATTTCTAGGTGGTAGGAGATAACGGGGAACTTTGAGCAGGGGCATGACTGCCAAAGTAAGGTTGCACTATATGAAATGGCCACAAGTCAGTGGTTTCAGGCCCACAAAAATAACAATATTATGTGATTCAGTCCAATGGGAATTCTGGAAGAGTCATTAAAGAGTGGGTACAGAATTCATTCATTCACTCACTCATGCGTTCACCAAAAATTTCTTGAGTGCTCTCTGCGGCTGGAGGCTGCCCTTTCAGCCTCTGTGGTCAGGGAAGGCCTCTGGATTTGTGAGGGAGGTGTCTGGGGGAAGGCAAAGGGGACGGCAGGTGCAAAGGCCCTGAGGCAGGAATGTGCTTGGTGGTTTGACAAACAGCCCAGAGGCTGGCGTGGCTGCAGTACAGAGACTCAGAGGTCAGAGAAGGAGCCAGGAGGCAGACATTGTGGCACCTGTCAGGCCAAGTCCGGGGTTTGGATTTTCCTCTGGTGAGTGGAGGGGCAAGTGTGGGAGTGAGGAGTCTGGTCCAGTCTTCCAGGCAGGAGGTGGCAAAGTGGTAGCAGTGGAGACCCGTTTTGGCCGTGAGCTGCCAGGATAGAGCGAGACTGACAATCTGGAGGCTGGTTAGGAAGGAGTTACCCTGGTCTGGCTTTCTCAGGTGGTGGCAGTGGGAGCAGAGGAAGGGGAGGTCAAGATGAGACCCCTGCGAGTCTGAGGAGTCACTTCCCCTCTGAGCCTTGGCTTCCGCGTGTGTAAACAGGCAACCTGCTCCAGGACAGCAAGAAGAAGCCTCAGATTTACGCTTTCCAGGCTCTTCAACACTGCTCTGCCCTCATGGGATTGCCTCTTTCTGGGAATGACCAGCCAGCTGGGGCTGCCTTGTAGGGGTGAGGGATCAGGATTGTAGTCTTTGGGCACTCTGGCCATCAAGTCCACACTCTGGACGCAGAACACATCACTGGCCTTTGCAGAGACTTCCCAGAAGCTCCACCCCACACTTCTGCCTACTTCCCATTGGCCAGGACCTAGTCACATGACACACCTAGCTGCAAGGGAAGCTGGGAAATGTAGTCTTTTTTTTTCCTTTTAATTCTGAGCGGCTGTGAGATAAGCTAAGGGTCTGTGACGGAGCAGGAAGGAGGAGATTGACATTGCTGGGGGGCAGCAGCCCTTCACAGGTTCTGCATCCCGTGCTGAGACCCAAAGGCTCACCGTTCTCCACCTCCTCACACCCAGTCCGGTCCCCACTCTGCCTATGTTTCTGTCTCCCCTCCTGAGTGTTCTGGATTTTACTGCTTAGATCTGAGGAGAGGGCCCCAGGGCAGGACCAGGCAAGGCCCTCGGGGATGCTGGAAACCGAAACCCAATTCAAGCTGCCTCAGGCGGGAAGGGGAATTGTGCATCCTCGGGAACTGAAGGTTGGGGTGCCGACTTGGGGAGCCCTGGGTTGTGAGCTGGCATCAGCTTCCTCTGGGGCAGAAAGGTGTCTGTCGGGGGGGTCAACCTCCAGGCTCAGGTCCTGCAGGAAAGAGCCTGACCTTTCTGTGGCAGCGCCTGCAAGAGCCCTGGAGCTCACTCTGATTGGATCTGGGGCCTGACTTCTGGGCGTGTGTCCATCCCAAACCATCACAGGGACCACTGACAATAGGGCTGTTGTTGTCCAGGCCTGGGAGCCACACCTGCACCATCTCCCAGGGAGGGGGACTGTTTGTGGGGCTTTCAGGCAGCTCGGGCGGCCGGAATGAGGACCGACCGCAGGCGGGGCGACTTCCACACACAGTCCTGGGGGCTGAAGTCCAAGATCAAGGTGCTGGCAGGGTTGGCTTCTTCTGAGGCCCCTACGCTTGGTGTGTAGAGGGTCGCCTTCTTCCTGTGTCTTCATTTGGTCTTTCCTCTGTGCACGTGCCCTGATGTCTCTGTGTGTCCTAATCTCCTCTTCTAACGACACCAGTCAGGTTGGAAGAGGGCTCACCTGAATGGCCTCATTTTAACTTAATCACCTCTTTAGAGGTCATACCTCCAGATACAGACACATTCTGAGGTACTGAGGGTTAGGGCTGGGCATATGAATTCTGGGGGGGGGGATACAATTCAGCCCATAACAAGCAGCCTGAGAGCAGCCTGGTCTGCACCTTAGGGAAAAGCATATGGGGTGTGGTGGGTGCTCGGAGGTGAGATTCCCAGGTGGAAAGAGCAGATTGGACCAATGGAGATGGCCTTGGTCTGGGTCTTGAAGGGTGGGAAGAATTTCACGGGTCAGTGAATGGAATCCCAGGCAGAGGGAACATCAGGACAAAGACGACGTGTGATTCCTAAGGGGATGGCGAGCGGGGGTCTGCAGCCTCAGGTGAGGTGACAGGCCAGCTCTCAAGGGTCTTAAATGCCAGGGCTTATGTGACCCCACGACAAGTTTATCAACTGCTAACCAGGCTCAGTGTGGCCCTTGGGGACCCAAAAAGGTGTTCACCCCACTCCAGGTTTTTCATTTTCATAAATAAAACAATGAACTCCCCCTTGAATCCACCACCAGCATGACAATTAGAATAAGGACCGGTAGCTTGCACCCCTGTGAACGTCCCTCAGGCAACTCCTGCTCCCGCCTCCCAAGTCACACTTTCTCTATCCTGAATCTTGATGTCTAATTTATGCTACTGATATATTCCCCAGAAGTACATTATTTAGTTTGAGTTGTGTTTAATTTTACAGAGAAAAGGCATCATGCTATAGGCAGTCTTTTGGAATTTACTTCTTTCCCCTCAGTATTAACAAAGCTCATCTGTGTTGTTCTTCTTAGCTGTTGTTGATTCATTTCAGCTG